CCCGGTCACCCCGCCCGACCACGCGGCACCGGTCACGCCCGCACCGACCACGGCGGCACCGGTTACGCCCGCGCCGACTACCCCTGCCCCGACCACCCCCGCCCCGACCGTGCCCGCCGGCCCGCTTCTCTCCCCCTGCAACCTGAGCACCGTAGACTATGCAGTGTATACTCCGTAAGTGCTCTGCAGTCATTCTGGCCTCGTTGTGGTTTGAGAAGGCTTTTCTGCGCCAGTCAAAGATCGAGGCCATTCTCTGGCAGGAACTTACTTACGGTGAGGGTGAGACGGTGCACGTTTTACTTTGGGAACTATCTGCAGAAGTCGAGTTGCTTCGAGAGAGAGTGGGAGGCGTCATCAGCGACTGGTTTTCAAGTTCCTTCCCTCATTCGCAAGTAGCAACCATGAATCCCGCCGTTAAGTTCTACGCCAGCTTAACCTTAACTTGGTTGGACGGCCATCAAGCTTCAATTCTCTTCTCCACAAAACCCAGCCGAAGGCTGATTCCACCCTCATCAAGCAACCCCTCACGTCAAGAGGCATCGTGCATAGCTGGCGATATGTCAACAAACGCTGACATTCCGGCATTCTCCCAGGTGCTACACTAACAGCGGACCAACCCCCTTCTGCTGCCCCACCCCGAGCACCGGTTGCTGCAGCACCCCCGTCGGGCAGCCCACCTGTTGCTCGACCACAAACGGGTCGGTCGTCCTGACCCAAACCCCTTCCCCGACCACGGCTGCACCGGCCACACCTGCCCCGACCACGGCTGCCCCGGTTACGCCCGCGCCGACCACGGCGGCACCGGTCACGCCCTCTCCGACTACGGCTGCACCAGTCACCCCTGCCCCGACCACGGCTGCCCCGACCACTCCCGTGCCGACTACCCCTGCCCCGACCATGCCCGCCATGATTCTCTCCCCCTGCAACTTGAGCACCGTAAATTATGCAGCATATACTCCGTGAGTGCTCCTCCAGGCATTCTGGCTGTACTTGAAGTGTCATCGTGGGTTGAAAACTTCCTTCTCTGCATCGGTCCAAGCTTGAGGCAACTTTCATGGCAGGAACTTGCTTACGGCTGGTTCGAGATGGTGCACGCTCCGCTAAGAAAAGCTTTTGTTGAAGTCGAGATGCCATCAAAGAGTGGAAAGCTTCATCAGCGGCTGTTTTCAACGTTGACTAAGCTTCATGCACGCAAAGCACCAATCCCGAACCCCTCAATTAGGTTCTTTGGCAGCTTAACCTTGCATTGGGCCATGCTTGATCAGACCGCCATCAAGAGCGTAAAACGATCCTAGACACGTGAAAAAAACGTAAGAACTTTGGTCATAGCGCTGCCGTTGATCAATGGACTGGGGGCATTCTAACAAAATGGAAACAAATTAAAGAACAGTTTTTCTCCTCCTACAACAGGGGATCACCCTTCTTCGCAAGTCCGAGCCAAAGCCTCACCACGCCCTGATCGAGCAACGTCTCACGTCGTAGAGATCATGGATGCCCGGCGATATGTCAACAAAAGTTGAAATTCCGGTGTTATTCCAGGTGCTACACGACAAGCGGACCCACCCCCTTCTGCTGCCCCACCCCGAGCACCGGCTGCTGCAGCACCCCCGTCGGGGAGCCCACGTGCTGCTCGACCACAAACGGATCGGTCGTCCTGACGTCCCAAACCCCCGCCCCGACCACTTTGGCCCCGGTCACCCCCGCCCCGACCACGGCTGCCCCGGTTACGCCCGCCCCGACTACTCTCGCCCCGACCACCGCCGCCCCGGGACCAGCACCGCAAGCGTGCGACCCGGCTTCGTCCTTGCCCAACCAGGTGAGCAGCTCGTAAAAGCACTCGTGACGGTTGGGCCTCGCCAATGATGCACTGAGCGGCGGCGTTCATCTGTCTAGGTACATAAGGTCGCGTTGTGTTTCGAGAACGGCCGATTCGTTCACACTGACTCTATTCATGGAAGCCTTTCGGTTCTGTGAGAGCCGAGTTCAGGGGTGCCAGAAGGGAGAAAGTAAAGGTGCCGAATCCAGTCGACTTGAACGCTGCAAGTACGAAAATGGAGTGTCACCTTCTGTACTCGCGTGTATCGAGTCGCACTCGACTGCTCTTGGCGGCAGTCGGTTACTCCTTAGATGGGCAGGATCCCTGCTCTTCTCATCTTCGCCTCTGCCCAACCAATCTGAGAACTGTCATACATTACTCTTGTACGCTGAGGCCTTTGATGGTTGACCAATATTCTCTTTACAAAAGCTCAATGGTGGGCATTCAAGCCCTAACTTCTTCTGGCCGCAATCTGAGCAATGAATCGAGCGATATAAACGCCTTTGCCCGCCGTGCGCAGTGCTTCAACGCCGCCGGGAACGCCTTCATTTGCTGCGCCGGCAGCTGCCCTTCGCAGCCTGGAACGGCGCCCGCCTGTTAGGCGGCGGCCCCGCCTGCTTAGGAACGTCGGTGTGAAGCGTCTTCTCTTGGAACAGACACAGATCAAAGTGTCTGAAAGTAGCGTGAGTTTGTCGAGTTTTGAGTAATTACTACAGGACCCACTTTCTAATTCAGTGGTGTTGAGTCCGGACCAATAAATTATGCATGGAGATACTGACCGTCATGCGCGAGTGACAGACCTTCTCCTTCGTTGAGGCCGTTGATTTCGGGGACAGTGGGTTGAGTTCAACAAAGCACACGGGAGAAGCCCAAGGATTTTGGTGTCAGTGCATATGCATTGGAGGCGTTCTGAGGGGAGGGAGTCGAGAAAACATTTATTCGATTCAAAAGTCGAAGCTGACTCAGCAGAGCGAGTACGACCCCGTGACTAAGGAGCACGTCGTGTTGAGCCTTTTGAAAAAACGTTCACCATTGCTTTTTATAATTAGCGGATTGGAGCAAACGTCGTAAATCAGGGGAGCAGCCCACGGGACTCCAAGCTGATTGATGACGGCATGCGTGCCGTAGTTTCAAGTAATCTATTCGTGGGTGTGTGTTGTCTAAGCCTTTTTCGTCAGCGTACGTATAACCCACCTTCAAATGATTCTTGTCCATTCTCGGGTCGACCACCATCATTGCATCAGCTCAGCCTGATACTCGTACTACGCATGGAATCGCATGGTCACGTTGTTGACTCCGTGACAAGATGACATTCAACATCGATCACAATCAAGGACCGATCACTTCCGACCAATAAGACGTTTCAGAACGTACTCGAGTACCTACTGAAGTCGCCCTTTTGGACGTACGATTTTCTGCATGCATTCCGCTGCCAGTATCGTTGACAGGCTCTATGTTAAGTACATTCATAACCGTCCGTCGCACACTTCGGAAAGAATTTTACATATTTCTAGTCTCTACATCCGCTTCTACGTACTGTCAGTTGTCGGACGCTGCAACTGACCACTTCGTTGCCAATGGGGACAATCATAAATTGGACGTACGCAATGATATCATGAATCCACAAGCCTCAGGCTGCATGGCGCGGCATGTCGCATCTCTAGGTTAGCTTAGTATATAGCTCTGTCGCCGAACGGGCGAGCTGCACCGCGCAAGACGACCTACTTGGGTTCGGATTCAATTGAATCTCGGAACTTCGGCGAGCTGCCAAACTTGAAATCTAAAGGCTTGAAATTCTGGGCCCGGCCCAAGGTGCTGCCACGGTAGCGCGGGGGCGGCCTACATGTCTCTAGCCGCGCCACTCGTGTGGTAAGCATGTTAAATCAGTCCGACATTGATTGTGGGGACTCTCAGTTGGACCGTCAGCTAGCTAGCGCTATCCTAGGCTTTCAGCTAGATTTCAAGTAGCGCGGCTGCTTCAGGCATCATGCAAGCGCGAAACAGCCAGATACCTCAGTGACTGCTTCTGACTCGGACTCGACGGTTGGTGACCGGATATACTTGCCATGGCAGGCGGCACGGTCCTCTCAAAGCCCCAAGATCCAGGCCGATCGTCCCGCGGCTTGGTAGCTTAAGTCCGTCGTTGTCGAGAAGTTGTTGTAAGAACACGTCCTTGCGAATTAATCGCATGCACTATATTTAACGGTGCTCTGTATATACCCGCACTCCGGCGGCCCCATGCCACTGATTCGCACGGGCTATAAGAAAAGTATTCCATCGAATACGTCGAATGCGCATGCACGCACATAACCGATCAAATCTATTCATTTTATTGAGCTTGTTAAGACAAAACACAACAACGGTATTCCATGAGAACTTTGGAACTTTGGAACTTTGGAACTTCTATATGGCCGCATTGGTTACGGCGTAACGAACAGAACCGGCCTTGAAAGATCTCAGAAGGTCACGTTTGCATGAAATCGTCCAATTTGTTGTGATCATTGCCCGGCGCGGCTGGCTCCCGGAGTCCCTGTACTAAGTTCAAGTTGCCATGCATCGGACCAATTCGATCCATAAGAAATCTAATCTGGCCTAGTGGGCCTCTCGTTCCCCGGTCCCACGTGGTACCACGGCAATGAGATCACAAGCTGAGCTCGACTTGATCGAACCGTGAATATACCACGGTTCTGTCGGTCATGGGTTCTTATCGCCCATACAGGACCGTCTTGTGTCAAAGCTGGTCATATTGTCCTGCTTCAATCGCGATCGAGAGAGAAACGGTTTATATCAACTTTGTAGGAATGAACTAGGATACGTTTCGCTTTTTTTTGCAGAAGGCATGCAGAAGTGGAACAGAACATCTGGACATGTTAAATGCTGCCACTCTTTAAAGGCACGCTAGCTTCCATGCGTGCATCTGTCCGGATCCAAAGACAGCTGAATTACAGGATGCCACCTATTCATAATGAGTCGCTGTAGAAGCCCTACTTCTTAATCTTCTTCACAAGCACCTTGTCTTTGTTCACCAGGTCCTTGTACATCTGCTCAATCTGCTGCTTGAAGAAGGCACGGGCCTGGGGACGCTTAACCTGTACGCAAGTTCAATCTCATAATGAGGTCAATTTTGCGCAATAAGATGGTTGGAATGATAGAGGCACGTTTTCCCGACCAAGAGAAGGATGTCGAAAGGGGAGGTGCACGGCGGTCTGGCGTCAGAACCACATCAAATAAAAAACAGACTCGAAAGAGAAGCGTCCTTTCCGAAGTATTGAGTGGAAGTCCTCGGGCGTAGAATCTTTCCGGAGCACACGCATAAATAGATAACGCGCGCTCAGGAGCTTAATTTCAATCGAGCACAATTCCGCAGCCAAGTTCGAAGTCTCTATCTGAGGGCACGATGTCCGACGCGGAAAGATGGAAGAAGAAGGAAAAGCCTTTGGGGCACGAAAAATGCAGGCGGTGCAAGACTGACGATCGAACGTGACAATTTGACTAACGTGAGCATTTCTGCCCGAAAAGCGCGTTCGCATGGGCGGAGCTAACAGACTTTACAGCTGGCAAAGGTCTATGAGAAGTATCCGGCAATCCTCGAGAGGGTACAACGAACACTAAACTCCAACCTTTGCAATCTACCCTGTGGCAAATCACCCGTTAAAAAGAAAAAAGAAAAGAGCAAACCTTGAACATGGGGGTGAGGAGGCCGTTCTCAATGAGAAGGGCTCCTGGGTCAGGAAGACCTGTAACTGAACCTCCGCCATGCCTGAGTTTAGCGAAACCGGCTCTCTACTTTTTAGCAAGAGAAAGAGCGCACCTTGAAAGTGGGAGTGGGGAGGCCTTTCTCAATGAGGAAAGGCTCGTGAGTGCAGAAGACCTGTGACTCAACCTCCAATTGGACTAACTCGGCCCCGCACTTTATAGAGAAGGAAAAGAGCGCACCTTGAACGTGGGCGTGAGGAGGCCGTTTTCGATGGAGAAGGGCTCGTGCGTGAGGAAGACCGCCTTGGCTTGCTCGAACCCGCGCAGCTTGGCCTCTCTAGCGACCTGGTCCATGGAAGCCAGCACAGCGGCAGCTGCTACGGGGTCGTTGCACAGCGCCTCGTAGTTGCTCGCGTGCTGCCACAAAACAAGTGACGTCAGCAAAACGTTTCTTACCCCGGACAGGATACTGCTCCGGCTCAAGAATCAGTGTGTCAATCTAACGACGCCTTACAGCGGCCGGCCGCCACTGAATTCTTGCACAGCGCTTCGTAGTTGCCCGGGGGCTGCCCCGAAACGAGTGACGTCGGTATCAGTGACGTCAGCAGAAAAATGCTACAAAGCAAAATAAGTTCCAGCACAAGGATGGTCTGTCATTTCGATGTGACGAGCACAGCAACAGACGCCGCCAGGTCCTTGCACAGCGCCTCGTAGTTGCTTGCGCGCCGCCACGGGAATGCATTTCAGGTACCAATTTGCAATTTGGTTCGAGTTCCTGAGCAGACTGTCAACTATAGAAACTTCACCGATGCAGCTTCTGTCCAGAGCTGCATCCAAGACAATGATCACATGTGACTCTGACGGAAGCGAAAACGGATGTGGGTGCGACAACTCCGCAAAGACGGAGTCCATGACGTGGACAACACAAATCGCTGACGCCTCGGATGCATGCAGGGAGCTGGAGGATCGGTCCGGCAGGGCCCGTGACCGAACGCAAATGAATGCTGGTAACCATTGTTCAGTCCTTATATATCGAGACAAGACACGCGGAGTGGTCACTCAGACTTGCCTCACGATGCAAACCCGGGAGATGCAAGCAAGTTATGCTCATTAACGTTGACTGTCACCAAAAATGCTAGATCACATGCTTCACGGAACAGAAGTGGCTCGACTTCTGGCGATGTCCTCCTTAGACACCGCTCCCAATCCTGTCCAAGGTGCGTCGGGCGCAGTTGGCAATGGAATGATCCTCAAAAATAGACCGGTGCACATATTGCTCAAACTGCGTAAGCGTTTAGAGTGGCTTTGCGAACCGGACTGCCCCCTTAGCTCACCGGGATGCCTCGTGCCTTGGCCCACTCCGGGAGTGTTTCCGGATCTGGCACCACCACGGCCACCAGCTCAGCGTTCAGGCTATCACCTGCGACAGTGTCAATGAGAATCTTTTAGTCCTTGTCATTTATGCATCTACGCACGTAACCTCGGAGAAGCTGTTTCTGTTCGTGTTTGCTGTTCAGGCTATCGCCTGGGTGGTGAGAAAGGGCAAGACCTTTCCAATTATGTACACAGACGCAGCTGAAGAAGGTCAGAAAGCGACTGAAACAGCGAGCGGTCTGCTTGTCTGTCGCCGGGAAGGACACAGTTGTGCAGATTCACAAGTGCGAACTTCAGGACCGGCTTTTGGGCCTGCCAACGCTTCTAACCGGAACGGTGCGAATATGTAGAAGAGGCAAGGGGATTGCCAGCCGCAGCGCAGGTCAGAGATGCCCAGTCGGGCGCATCTACACAAGACGCAATGCAAAGTGTACGCTCTTCGACGTGTGCCGTATCCAAATTCCTGCAACTAGGGCTCGGTTATTTTCAGAGGATTTAGCCCGGGACGCTGCTGGCGAAACCCATCCGCCGGTTAGTCACGCCCTCTTCCACCTGTTTCGGCACACGTCACAAATCTCGGAAAGGCTACCTTCAAGCTTGCTCGCGCTTGTCTTCGCCTGACAAGCTTCCGTCTTTTGTGTATGTAAGAGTTCGGTTCGTTACAACCGAGCGGCTTCGACCCCGCACGAACCACGTACCAGCATAAAAGTAGATAGGAAGACGAGACCGTTTCCGCGTGGACTTTATAATTTTAGATTCTTCGACCGCCGTCCGTTGCTGTCCTGCTCAAAATGATGCCAGGCGCTCTGCAGGGCACTCTGCGGAGCAGCCCAAGTCATGCTGAGAAGAAAAAGTAGACGGAGACTGACCGTGTATGAAGCACTGCGCAACCAAGGAGCTCCGGTTGTAGACGTTTTCGATCTTCTCCGGGGCGATGTACTCGCCTTGCGCCAGCTTGAAGATGTTCTTCTTCCTGCGCGGAGCGGGTTTTGGGGCGTCAAGACACCTGTCCTCCGAGCATAAAGTGCGCTTTGTGGCAAGAGTCGGCGCTCATTGCTATCACAAAGAAACGAGCTGTGCAAGCAAGGGAGAAAGAGGAATTGGCGACGACAATAAGGAATGACTCGACCTCTGCAAATCAGGCTGATTGAAGAACACGTCAGGGCAAAGAGACACAGCTACATGCAGGCTAATTTCCCCCTTGACTCCCCTTCCTCTCGGATCCTGAGGCTCGCAAAAGGTTGCTTCTTGTCTTGGCATACAAGGGTTATGCCGGCCGCCTATTTGGCCGGCAGACGCTCTCCGTTATCGTAAGTGTAAAACACGAGTTGGAAGGTCCGATACTCGAGCTCGCGACTTTGTGAAGTTCAAGCTCTTTAAGCGGAATGCACCAGTCTGAAGCCAGTCAAGACATGCTGATTCAAAACCAAATCATTGAGTTTCCAAGGCAACACGAGCTTGCCTGTCAATGATCTTGAGCCGCCCCTTGTCGACCCACATGCCAATATCCCCGGTGTGCAACCAGCCGTCGTCGTCTACCGCGTCTCGTCTGCAGCCCATGAATGAAAACGTATCACAGTTTGAAGTCTTTCTAGTTGGCTAGGAAGCGTCATGAAATCATCACAAGCCGCTTCGAGTGCCACTGTACCATCAGACTCCGAGACGACAGAAAAAAGCTTTCAGGGTTCGTCGAATGTAAATGACAAGCAAGAAGCGTTCAAGAAACGCGAAAGCAGGTGCGAGTACCCTCTTTACGATGCGGGACAGCCTACAGCGGAGGCCTGAAGTCATTCGCACAAGCTTCAAAGGTTCTAGATATCCTTGCCCTCTTCCCAGACTGTTTTTTCAAGTCGCTAGATTGCAGAACCCAAAAGTTGCTCGAGCGCGTCACCTGTTGCGAGAGCTAAGGCAGATCTTTTCGCTCATTGATGCAAATGCCTAACTGTATAAGAGCTGGCGGTATTTTCCTTATTACTTTCGAAAACCGGTCGGACAATTGAAGTGCACATGTCGGTGACGGAACCAATCACCACGTAGAGCAGCAAGTCGGGAACGAACAAGGAAACGTTTCGGCCTTTTCTTCGTATAACCCTTGATTGAAAGGTTCCTGTTGTTTGCGCTTCTCGTAACTTACGTCTGTTCCACGTCCTTGTAGTAGCCCTTGAAGACGATCGGCCCCCGTACGCAGACCTCTCCCCGGGGGTTGGGCTTGTCATTGTTAGTGTAGTTCATCTCCGGAACGTCAACCAGCTTGACCTCTGTGGATAAGAAGGTAACGGGTTGTTTCGCGGTTCTTATGTTTTGGGTATCAGGGTTTTAGGTGCGTTCACAGCCCAAGGCATCGCGCTTGTCGTCGTTGGTGTGATTCATCTCAAAAATCCCCCCCAGCTTATTCTCTGTATAAACCTCTGTAAAGCAAGAAAATGTTATGTCCAAACCCTTTTGGTCAAATCAGCCGGCTTGACAAAACCACCGGTATAAATCTATGCAGAGCAAGAAAGGTTATGCCCAAACCCTTTGGTCAAATCAGCCGGCTTGACACACGCACCGGACTACGCTTCCCAACTCAGGGAGTGGTACTTTTAATCTTCGGTGTCTTCCATTTGAGAAACGTCGAGCAGCTTGATCTTTGTGAGTGGAAAACGACAAACCGGGTCAAACCAGTCGGTCCAAAGTCGCCCAGCTTGAGAGATATGCATCCTGGGGGTTTTCCGAGCGGAGTTTGTCCAAGAATCCAGATCTGCAGTCTACGAAATTAGGAAAATCGCCTGATTCTTCACGTGCGCGGGCAGACACAATCTTCACGAATTTTGGCTCACTCGTAATCCTCAGCAAAAGGGCAGAAGCCTCTGCAACTCGTCTCGACAAGAAACTTCAAAGGATTCTTCGTCTTTCTATTCATTGACGAGGGTGCATCGCTGGGTGCTCGAAAGAAAAGCGAAGCCACAGACCAACACCTAAACCCCATTGAACTGCAGGTCTTCAAGCCGCGTCCGGTTTCAAAGAACGATCTTCATGCCTTCTGCGGAGAGGCGCTAAGCAACTCGGTTGAGGGGATCCGTGTGTATTCTTTCGCCAAATGCTCGGTGCCTTAAACTGCCCTTCAAGTGCCAACCGTGAATGGAAAGTTCCCACTCTTTACTCTTCCAGCCAATATCCGGAATTTGAAGGAGCTTACAAAACCGGAGAGCTCACCGCAGGCAGGGTTGGGAGCGCCCACAGAGCCCGGCTCGTTATCGCCCTCTTCTTGAGTGGAGATGACGCAAGTGGTCTCCGTCATACCGTAGCCCTCCACCACACGTGCAACAAAGCATCTGTGAATGTCCACAAATCTGAAGTAAGTATACGCAGAAGCTATATCTAAATGCCTCTGGGAACATAACCGGACGGTACTTCTTGCAATTGGGACAAGACGCCTCAACGAACGAGAGTGCAGACCGCATAGACCAGCCTGCAATTGAGTGTAGCACTTCGGGCACCGACACTGGTAGATAAAGCAAATCAAATATACGAGGATGCAGAGAGGGCTGAGGGTAAATCTTTGCGACCGTCAAACTTTGCACAGAAATGACACCACTCACGGCCACCTTGTACACTGCAATCATCATTGCTCTCTTGGGCTTAGCACGCAGAGGCCCCTAGCTTTAGAGCTGCCAAAGAGCGGACGCCTACAGCTCTTGAGAGCACGCAAAGAATCCAAGTAAGAAATCTAAAAACATTCCGGAATCCTCACATCTGCAGGAACTCGGAGACTTCGGGCGAAATGGGCGACGCCCCGGTGGCGAGGATGCGCACGCGGCCGCCTAACCGCTCCTTGATTTTGTTGAAGACGAGCCGGTCCCAGACGGGCGAGACACGAGTACCTGAAGGGGGAGTTTGAAGGCTTTGAGTTACAACTGCGGCCATAGGGTGGTTACTGCACCGGGCCCCTTGAACGACGTGAAAGAGAGAGGACTGTACCACAAATGATCTCGAAAGCGAAGAGTCGACTGAACGAATCGGCCATATCACTAGAGAACAGCAACCATTAATACGCAATATTCAACGCCCGGAAGCGGATTGGAGTTGCGCCAAACAGATTTCTGCGGCAGATCCTCGGCTGCCAGCCGGCGCATCTTAGACGAGCGGCAGCCCCTCTTAAGCCAGCTACCTTTGTCCATCAATGAGTCGTACTTGGCAAGGTAAAATATGGAGGCCTCCAAACCGCTCGTTATCTGAACACCAACGCTGATGTGCCAAGTATGTTTGTTGCGAACACGTCTGCCTAAAAGTAAAGCCGGGAAACGCGCACCTTTTCGTAGGCCAGCCTTCTTCGAACTGTAGGCCACGTCGAAGAGGCGCTGCTTCAGCCCGCCAGCACTCCGTACGGTTGCGTTTATTCTGCATCAAGAAAAGCCCGGATGCCGTCAGGACGATGCAATTGCGAACAACGACGCACGAACAACATTGAAACAGACCGGGCTTCACTACACAAGTGCAAGAACGTCTCGAAACTGAGAGCCAGTGAACATCCTAATTGCTCAGCTGATCTTAAGTCGGAAATTTTGGGTTCGTCTTCGATCGACCAATCGACATTCCCGACCTGGTTAAAGACAATCTGGATTTAAACCAGGATGGGAGATGTAAATCATCGCGCAAATGACAGCCGGAGCTCGAGATGCGCAGAGAACGACCACGAAGTCAAGCTCTGACTTCAGACCTGTCGTAGATGCGGTTGTACAGGCGGGGCACACTGGCGAAGAGCGTGGGCTTCAGCTCCTGCATGTCGTCCATCAGCTTCAGGATGTCCTGCGTGGGTGACGAAGATGCTGACGTCAGCACTCAGCGTGCACTCTGACACGCGAGAGAAGTCCAGCAAGCATCAACATGGCTCAAGATGTTGACGTTGTAAACTCGGGAACGGCTAGGAACGGCTGATAAGTACCGGGCCAGCTGCTGAACGGGGCGGATGCAAGCATAATCTCAGAGGGAGATAGCAGAGTCGATCCCCAAATTCTGTCACTTTCGGGTCAAAGTCTTCACCTTTGGTCAGATTCTCTGCCTTCCTTTACGTATCTTCCAAACCCACTTCCCCTCCCTTCTGGTTGAACTGATTGCAGCAGAGTCGGAACAAATCGTCAATCGACGGGCAGAATGGAGAATCTCTCGGACCAACTCACCCCTTGGTAGAAGCCGATGGCGACTCCGTTGTGGATGGCCATCTGAACATTGAGCCGTTCGTAGATGTGCGCGAGCGGGAGATAAGAGATGTGCCTGCAGACAAAAGGTCGGGCTATTGGCTTAGTACCAAGCTAAGGGGAGGTCATATCTAACCTATGAAGGTTCTGAAAAGTAGACAAAAGGTGTGACAACCCAGAGAAAAGGTCGAGATCGTTAACCAGGTAGGACCTCCACGTTGCAAAAAAAGCGTGCAACTTGAAAATCGACCATAGAGAGTGGTTTCAGATTCAAAAAGAACACAAACGAAAAATGTTTACGAGAATTTCCAATAGTGTAGATACACAAAACAAGCTACCAGGCAGCCAGGAACAGACGCTGCTGACTCACACATCGCCAGGAAATGTCTCATTCATCATCGCCATGCCGGCCGTGCTGGCAACGAAGTTTGAGTGCGTGATCATTGCCCCCTGCAAGAAACGCCATGCAAACAAAATAAGGGCGTGAGTCACGGCAGGAATACGTCACTAACACAAAATCGAGCACATGCGGTGTTCGAATTGGCCTAATATGGGCTTGTTGGTCCCCGCACGTGAGGATGATAGAAGCACATAACAATTCTCCGATGTGTGGCAAACAGTGTATGCTATCCCACGACGCAGAGCTCTAGGTAGCTCTAGTTCAAGTGACTGCGACCATAATCAACGAGAATAAGAACGCGACTTTTGACGACCAGTGGAGCGAGCAAACGCTCTGCAGCCTTTCAGTGCCGTATATACAGGCAAGTCGCACAGGATTGTGGCGCAAAAGAAGCAAAGTCCTCAGACACTCCGAAATGTACACAGCTTCCAAGTCGACTACTGGACGAAGAGTAAGCATCTTGGTGAGGGCGTACCTTGGGCGTTCCGGTGGTTCCGCTGGTGTAGCAGATGGTGGCCAAGTCTTGACATTGCGGGGGGGTGAAAGGGAGCGGGTTCACTCGCCCCTGAAACGGAAAGCAAATCTCGAAACACTTCAGGAATAGTAGGCTTCAGGAATAGTAAGATTACCAGCCTGGGACGGGTAGGGTTAGTTTGGGGGTGTAGGGTGGGTTCGGGTGCGGAGCAGTTGATTCTAATAGGTTAGGTTTTTAGTTTTTGGTTTGAGCTTACTATTCCTTGAGCTTACTATTCCTGAAGTGTCGCGACATGGAAAGCAACCGGCTGTTCAGCCCGGCTCGTTTTGAAAGCAGAATCTGACCAGTGGCTGTTTTGAAGATTTAGGCGAAGGACTCCAACAAGGCGGCGGCGAACAAGCAACCCGTGTCTGGCTCTTTGGAGAAAGGTAGCTTGTAAGCTTGGCGACTCGAAGGGCCTTGTCTGCAATGGCTGAAGGATAAATCTTTGCAGAGCATTGCTGTGCAGGCTGCCCAGCACGCCCAGCGAAAGAACCAACGGCAAGCCAGAGAGAGTAAAGAAGGGCAGGGCTGGGCAAATAATTGAAGATTCTCCTTTTTCGGACCCTTTGAACAGACTTAATCCCTGACAACCACGAAGACCTTCTGGAAATTGGTTTTGAAAAGACTCCGCACCTGCGCTTCCAACCTCGAGTAGGGCATGATCACAACGTCCCGCTTCGGGGGGGGGAGCGGCAAGGTCTGTTCGGTGCCCCCCACAACGACGATGACTCGGATGGAAGGGCACTCGTGAAGGATGTCCATCATCTGCAGAGCAATGACGTCATCAGAACAGCTGCGCCCGAGCTGATTGACGGAGAAGGCAGGCATCAGACAAGTCTCGTAAGCACCAAGGAAAGGTATAGCTCGCGATTACCGACGGTTAGCAGTGCCTTAGGACAGAAAACATGGATCAATCCTCTGAACACGTGTTTTTGAGGCGTACGTAGACCACGTGGCATTGAGTTACTGCTCCTGTTATGCTCCAGAGGCCCCTCCACCATTTAAGAGTCACTCACATCAGAAAAGCTCGTACTACAAGAATCTGGCGCTTGAAATGCCAATAGCATAAAGATTCGTAAGAAGAGTGTAAAGGGAGCTCACAATCTGCATCTTGTCTCTTGTACAGAAGACAGCCACAAGCTCCCCATGATTGATGATGTACTTCACAGAGTCGGGCCCTGAAAGGAAAGGAGACGAAAGAGTCGGGCCCTGGGATGAAAGCAGACGACATACGAGCATGAAAGTGAGGATCGCACAACAACACACGAGCATGGCGAATACCAATCACACATTTTAAGACTTCACAAGGTCCGCATGAAGAACTCAAAAAGCTTTCCCGCGCTCTCCTACAGCACGCTCGCAATCTGACCGCATGGCCGCTTCCAACTCTTGCAACCCGCTTCTCCCTGCTACACCGACGCCCCATCTTTTGGGGATCTCAACCGGAAACGAGCAGGTGACAAAAACAACCACTGCGGGAAAGTCTCGACCTGCTGATGGCGTTCAAATAGGAATCAAACGCTGAAAGAGAGTGCCTCCGGTACCCCACTTGGTCCCAGGAACTAGCTTTACACCTAAGGTCAGATAAACTGAAGCTTCAGGACACTCCATAGATGAGCCATAGATGAAGCGATAGTTCAACAATCGAACAGGCAGTTCGCTGCGAAGGACACGGTTTGTGGCTCTTCGTTTGTTGATGCAATATTTTCTTACCGAGGGTGTCGTACAGAGGCACCGAAACAAAGGCGTACGAGTTGCAGGCCTGCTCGGTAATCACCCACTCCTCACGGTTGATGAAATAGAGGCCGACCTTGGCTCCCTGCAGAGATAGGGAGGCACGTCAAAGAAGCGTCCCACACTCTACCGTCGTGACTTGGGAAGTCACCCCCAAGCGCCCCGAATATTCATTTTCGAGGGTTTTCGGGTTTCATGCTCCAATATGAAATCTTGTATAGCTGGCGTTGTTTTCAATCTGATCGTCAATTCTCGTTTTTCCCCGTCGGATCCAATTTAGTGTCTGAAGTTTCGTCTTGATCAAGTCCCAAGTCACTAAGATACCCAGCAAGGAATCTCCAACAAGACAGCTCTAGATCCGGCGCCACGAATGAGTACTACTCTATTGGACGATCTGGAAGCAATCAATTTCTACACAGAGTGGACGCCGCAGCTGAAGCAAAGCATACACCGGGGCAAAGCTCGATAAAATACAACCTGTTTGAAGGTAAGTCCAAAAGCAAGAGACAAAGCGATTGTCACATTAGTCTTGAACTGCAAGCTTGTGATGAAGAAGCTCACCGGTTGAAGGCCTTGCTGCACCAGACCAGAGCCCACGGCAGTCCTCAAAGCGCCTGCTTCCCGGTAGGACTTCCAGACATAGCTGCGCAAGGAGAGATTAGGATGAGTACAGACGCTGTGAATTCCATCCCAAAACAATCCTGCACTCTCTCAGCAACAACGCAGTCGGCCTCCCAGATTTGAATATTGCTTCTAGCAATGGCGAACAATCTCAGGTATGCGCAATCAATGAACGCTCGATTCAACGTACTTCTGTCCTATATGGAAAATTCTGGCCTGAATCGAACAAAGTCGTCGAAGGGTACTCACGGGCCCACAGTGCCGTCGGGCTTGACGCGGGTCCCTAGACAAGGCTCATCAGCATAAACCCTGATGCTGCGCCTGCAGCAAACAAGAACACCCATAAATATTCAATTTTCACAGCAGTACGCACACGGTCCAAGAGGCAGAGGGTACTCTAAGCAATTGAAGACACCCATGCAGTTAGAGACTTCTCAACGCTTTGGAGAGTCTCGAACATATCTATGATAGAAGCCGCATGAAATGAGCATCGATTGCATTGCATACACGAGAGGCGCTGACATCATCGTCGCGCAATGCTCACTCGAAGCTGTCGTGGCAGGTCTTCACATCAGGATCCTCTTGGAATCTGTGCACCAACTTCAAGGGGGAGCGTGCGGACCTGCGATTCATGAAAGAGTTTTGGTGCCAGCAAGAAGAAAACTCAAATAATAGTCATAGTCCCAGGACAACCAAAGATCAATCCTGTCCCACAAACAGCCTCCCATAGCCCATACTGATTTGATCATGACCATCCCGATTGAGAGACACAGCCCGAGGGGCAAGAAATAAAAACAGGCAACCAACTCAAGGGGATGGTCAGGAGGTCCGAGATGACCAGATCACAATCCCATTTGAATAGCAATCAAGAATGTTTGAAAGGAAGTGGACGGGGTCCTCTTTGTCACTCCTTGCGATGGGCGATAAAAAGTTCAACAAAAAAAAACACGATTCTGAAAAAAGTGGGACAAAAGTCACAACCCAAAAGATGCATGCCTTCTGCTTCATAAGCTCCCTGTGTTATGCAAGATTTTTGAGATATAGGTTACAGGACCTTTGATTGCCTGGCAATTCGTTGTCTAAACCAAGTTCTCAGGCAACAGCTTTAGTAAACACCGTTACGCTCCAACTAATACGGAGGGCAAATACAGAAGGTGAACGTCTATCCAGCATGTATGTGATCGATCTTTTCAATTTTATCAGCCAACTGCTTGAAAGTATCAGGAAAGTCCTTAAGCGCATGTCACCTGTGTACATTCCACTTGCCCTCTGATAGCCGCTCTGGAAGGACAACGCTAAACCCTTGATCTGTACACAATGGTAAGGCAGGATAAAATTTGCATGAGCATGATTACTTGAAGGTGTCAAGCACAGACTCCTTCTTTAGCAAGTACAAAAGCTTCTCTTTCATGACCGCATAACGACCTCCATAGACGCTATATGTCGGGCCAGCTCTCTAGGGTAAAGCTGCTAGATGCTATACTGACAATCTTCAGCAATGTTTTTCTGCAGAAGGCCCACCCACCTGAAAGGACCTATCATGACTAGTCATAGAGCAAACTTTGTGCCCTCGTTGTCTAGGGTCAGCTCTCAAGCGTACCTAGCAACCACCAGGCTTGAAACCTTACATGGATAATCCTGTCCTGGATAAAGCAACAGCCAAGCGACCTACCTACTAAGTACTCTCCAGCTGTGGTCTGAAGATGCAACAAATCACTACCAGCTGGTCCTGCGGGGAGACAAGAAATCTCGAATCATGTATCCAAAGTGGTGTCACACGTCTAGCAAAAGGGCAGGTATACTTCCAAATTGTTCACATGTCCTCAGTTTCAGCCACCTGTGCACGCTGCTGCCACCGCAAGGGAAGATTTTCCCTGACAGACAGATACCACAATATGTTCACCCTAGGGCATCAAATCAGATGCAACAACAGCGAGTTCGCCCTCCAACTTCAATACGGTTTGGATTCTATCCTTGTCATCTTGTTGCCCTGATGTCGTCCCGTCACTACCTTTCGAAATAAGTTCCGCAACGGGTCCATCAATGCATCACAATTCCCATATCCTCGCAAAAGAAGAAAGATGGGAAATTCAAGGAGACCTACCTGCGGCATCATTTTCAACATGCTTCCTGAGGATTGCTAAGCGTCGCTCTGCAGCCTCCGCCATCCTCTCGGCACCGTCAAAGAGTTCAGCACCTTTTCTTCTGGTCCTTTCCTTGTTCAGATTCTGCCCTCAGTACACGTAAATTGCAAGAGAATGTCTGGCTACCTAGTAGCCGCCACTAAGCCAATAATCAAGGAGTACGCATGCAACCGTCAGCGTCTGAGGGCTACTTGCCAGCACCTCATTCAAACCAGCGAAATTGCTCCTCGCTCCCCCAATTTTCAGCTGAATTGCTGTTTGCGAGTCGGACTCCCTTCCTTGAAAATCCAAACTTTCCAAAGCCCTCATGCCCTTCCCTTTCCGGCCTGCTTTCCAAATTCCTTCCCTGCCGCAGATTAGCCTACCTTCCGCAGATTTCACATTGCCTGTGCAGGCAAACCGCCTCATGGTGACGTCTTCTCACTGCCGTTTTCTAGATTTCCAACTTTCCTCTCCAGCACCCGATTCCAATCGTCCTCGGTTGATATTCCATGATCTGAAAGTGTCCCCTTCAAACACCCTGGCCTGGGGCCGGAGGAAAACCCATTTTGCCTTCATTGCCGTTGAGGATGTTGGTGCTGACTCGACAGCGGCCGTCTCTGTATGCAAGAACCGTCACATCCTCGGCGACAAAAAGGACAGGGTTCAGCAACCTTGACTCTTGAGCACTGCTGGAAAGGAAGGTGGATGCGGTGGGATTAGTGCTGGAGGCGCTCATTGTGGAAGTTGTGGAGGTGCTCATTGTGGAAGTTGCAGCTATTCAAATGTGTTGAAGCTCTCTTCAAGGGAAATTGAAAGGTGTTTGTTCAAACCCGGTTTGAAGGGGTGGCAGAAGGATGTACTTTGCTCCTTCCGGACACCAATGACTTCAGCCCGGGGCTGAGCAGCTTGCATTGGACTGAAGCTTGAGCCTAGCTAAACCCCTGCTAAAAGACCTGTATTGTTCATCCTGAGAGCAGGGGGGGCCTTTTTTCTTCAGCTCCGGCGGTTCTGCTTTGAGTTTCTTGCGTTCACCCATGCAACCTGGGAACCGGGCTCCGGGTTCAGCTCCACCACCCCCGAACGCAAACTCCATGGCTGCCTTCCTGCCAGCGATCGCTGCACTTGTTGCTGTGAGTGCTTCTTCTTTCCTTTCCTTCCCTTTTCAGCGGAAGGAGCCGCCATGGCAGAGAGGTTTTCTATGATTCGTCTTCAAAGTAGAACAACTTCTTGTCGAAGGTTCGGGGTGCGCATCCTCCTTACCACTCTTGTCACTGTTCTATGCACTGACGTGTGTCTCACGTCCTCAAAAGTTAGTTGTCGGGCATGCCTGGATTGGTGTTCGTAAGCTGGTGCCAATTGTGTTAGCCAAGAGGTGGACTTTTGGCCAAGCGAGCATAGAGCATTCTGTAACTGAAAAAGTTGTGTGTTCGTAGCTTGAGCAGCATACGGCCACTTTCCGTTATCTTGACATGTGCCCTTTTACCTGTCGACGATGCTGTCGGCAAACTCAATGTGAACGTGGACTTGACAAGAGTTTATCAAGGCTAGAGGCTCTCTTTTCAAGATTAGAACTTGACTCAAGGAGGGTTCTCTCAGTACAAAAACACTTCTGTCGCAGAGCCTCTCTACAGTCCATTTTTACGTTCACATGGTGATACTACCACAATTACGGCCCTTCGTGCATGAGCCAAGTTTCATATTACGAAAAGCATTTGGGAGGACAGGTGCGAAACAAAAGAGTCTTCTGAATCGTATCCTTGCAGTGCGTGGCTCCTCTGGCAAGCGCCAACCTTGGAATTCTGCACTCAATTCCTGAGGGCCATGTGGGCGTGTACTGGAGGGGTGGGGCCCTGCTGCCTACAATCAGCGAGCCAGGTGAGCATAGCAGCCTATAGTTTCTTAATCGTTGTCCATGGAAAGTTATTCGCTCAAGTATGTGAGGTCTCTTGTCACACCCTGAGCTGCCTTCTGAACCTTTTTGAGTAGGTCAGCTCTGCTCCAGTAAATCTGGCATCTTTCTTGCTTATATGGCTGCGTGTAAGCACAGTTCTGCGCAAGTCCCCTGTTCAACCGAATCCGCAGAAGATTCATTGGCCAATATGCTGTTCACCAGCTGTCTAGCGCTTTCTGGTTGTAACGGGAAGCGAAGATTTGTTAAAAGTATGATGTATTGAACCTTCTGCCATTGGAGTGGTCGTACCAACTGCCTTCTAAGCCCTTCTCAGGACCTGGTGTTATCGTCCAAAACACCGGGCACTGCGGGGGTTCTGACCTGCGTTCATGAGACAGTCAAACGTCCTTGAACATGCCCCGGTGTAGCTTACATATACTCAATTCATCATAAGTAGTCTTTGGCCAAAGAAACTATGGCTGACATGCCTTGTCATCATCTTCTATGGTGGGTGTCTTCCTGAGGCCAAGTTACGCTGAGCCGGAAAGCAATGACAGAATGGCCCTTTGCTGTAAATGCTGATTGAGTAGTTGCTGCGCACTTGCTTTTGCGAACGCATGTCTTCTGGTCGTTCTGATGCTTTGCTGCCCACCTAGTATTTGACAGATACTCCTCTTATGCCCGTGCTTTTGGGCGCGGTTGCTTGCCGCAGCTGGAAACAACTTTTTCTGGCCTGTAAGTGAGCCCCTTTTTGATTGTCGCGTCCCTTCTGGGATGCTAAGAACCCCGGAGATATTTTGATGTTGCCCATGTGGCTTGCCATCCCTCTAAACGTTGGCAATCTTTTGCCGAAGTTGGTTGCAGAGTTTTGTGCTTCGATACAGAGGCTCTTGTGTGACTGTGGCAAGGATTGCACCAGGTAATGTGCCAAGTCATTGAGCTGTTTGTCTATGATGAGGCCACTTGGAAGCCGTGGGATTGAAGTGAAGGCCATCTTGCTGGGTGGTGCATGTTGGTCCAGGCATGCTCGCAGCATCGTTGCATCTTTGACGTTCTTTCCCTGCTTGAATCGTCTTCGTTTCGAACCATTTACTTTCCAAGCGAATCGCACTTCATGCTGCATAGCTCGTGTGAGGGGGGCTGCTTTAGGGTGGTAGCTCAATGGAAGCTTTTGGCGGTGACGGCACGTTCCGACCACGGGTTGAAATTTAGTCGGATTCATCCAGCATCGATCTTGCTGCCAAACGGTTTACTAACCAGGATTTTAAGATACCTGAGGCACCTGTTGCTTGTGAAGACACGAAGCAGCGCGCGTTTCTTCAAATCATTGAGAAGATACAAGGCCCTTTTTGCGGTACCACACCATCTTTTGAGGGCGATTGGTTAGAAAATTGCAGAGGAAGCCCCTTCGACGTTGCGAGGGTTCTGAACTGATGAGCTCTGTTTTAAAAGCCAGATGCCCACGGTCTCGGATTGATGAGCAGAAACACACGTCTTCTTTCGACGTGCAAAGCAGCGACTCGCCATTGTCCTTCGCTGAAGCGTTGGCTCACTCGTTGGGCACCCCCTCCATACAGCCCACTGTATCGAGGAAAATATAAGAGGTTTTCTAATGTTTGTTGCCCTGGTTACTTGCGTGACTCTGTCGAGCGGCGAGGACGATTCGCTTCTGGCTTGTATGGCCACCCGAACTTCCACTTTTTCTCCAATGCCACTCTACGATTTTGATACCTGTTGCAATTAACACTCATCTTTAGATCAAAATTTTCATGCTGTTGTTTGCACCTCATGGCAGCGGCCTAGAAGCATCCTGGCTGTGTGACTGCTGAATCTTCGGCAGACTGGGCACCTCCCGTTCAGGCTTTCTGGATAGCTGGCAAGTTGACCCGTTTCGCTTCTCACCAATGAAACATCGTAAAGTTGTCTATGTGCGACTCTGGGAGCATCCGATGGTCAAGCTTCTTTGCTTTCTCCTGACGAGCCCAATTTACTTGCTCCTCCACTTGGCCTAGGTCTACAAAAGATATCGAATTGGGAATATACAAGTGAGGTCTTGGCAACCGAGATAAAGTCAGGTTGCGACACTTTTTGAGTCTTACAAAACGTTCATAGGCCACCAAGGAAATACCTCCGCGTTTTCTGTAGTGCCGCTAATCTGATGTCGTGACCTTAGTGCAGTCTATCAGGTCCAGCTAGCTCCGAAGTTGAATCGAGACAGGAAGAGAGCTGACAAGCCTTTCTCAACAGTAGAATGAGGTCAGTGCTGTCAATCTTGTCGCGGCGACGCTCGAGCGCCAACATGTGGTTTACCGTCGCTGCGTGCTGACTCAGCTGTTACGCCCCCTTTAAGCGGACGTGCCCTTTCCAATTTTCCATTGTCACGTGTCACGGGGCAGCACGTTCAGAAGAACCCGAGGAACTCGTCTTTTCAAAAGCACTTTGCTGATTGCAAGCCGAAGTCTTTGCACTTCTTTTTTCAGTACGAGCTCAGGGTCTGAGTGACTAAGCTGCCGACTGTCTACGTCAACAACGTTTTGCACCAACAGCTGTAAACTCCAGTGGCGTTGATGACGAAGGGTTTGGCCACAGTCTCGAGCGTAGTCAGTTAGGGGCTGCTGTTGCTTATGCCATCTGTTCATCCGACACATTTTAGTTTGTTTATTTGGAGGTAGACCTCAAGAATCTTTTTTTGAGAACGGCCTTGGCCTTCGCTCTTTCCGGAGTGCATTCTGATACCTGCGCTTATGATCTGCTCTTTAACGACGACGTGGAAATCGGCCCCATCAAAGCGCCTCTCTCAGCACATCTTCGGCTCTTTTCCCGAACAAGACCGCTCGATAATGTTGGACTCTCTCATATCCCAGCCTGTTATTCAGTAGGATCTTTGATCGCAAAGAGGTCTACATTAAGGAGCTCCGTCACGGACCCCTTCTACATACATCTCTACACCCCTGCCACAGAACAGGGGCCACATCGGCGCTATAAGTCTTCATTGCTTTCTTAAGCTACCAGACCCGGTTGTAATATCCCACGTGTCACGGAACTCCTTGATGTTCAAACCTCCTCTTCTTAGGTTGGAGTTGGCGCCATGTCCCAGGAAACTTCCTTTCAAGTGGTGCTCGTTTCTCTGCTAGTATACTTTGACGGCGAGGACGAGTCCTTTTGCTGGCTCTTCGGTGCCAGCTCGATTCTGAAATGTCTCCTTCCGGAAGCCGTCAAAGTATCCCGGTGAATGCCGGAAGAGAATCCCCGGAGTTTGGCAGCTTTGTGCGCTTTCTGGATTGTGGTTGAATTCGCTCATCTGGCTGGTCTTGCCTGCTGACGCATGCTACTCTCTGGTAGGCCTCGGGTCTCGCGCCGTTTCGAACCAGCGGTAATCTCGTACGGTAGAGTGCAGATTTGAGATCAATCACTGCTTTCGGTGCCTTGCCGAGGACTGACGCCGTCAGTAACAAAACGGGGCGTCCGAAACGAAACTCGTGCCTCAAAACACCGATTTTCGGATGTGGTTGGACGCTAGGCAACCCATGATCAAGCGAAATCTTTATTGATGGGTTTGAAGGCGTTGCCCTTCAAGCCACCAGGTGAAGGTGTGCTCGAACGGATCTTTTTGGTGTCAGTGTTATGGCATAACTGTGTCGAGTTATGGGCTCCTTATCATCTATTCACCATCGTGACGTTAAGCGCTTGCCGTCAAAGCAAGGAGACAGTATCTTTCTCTGTTCCGTTCTCTGCTCGTGCTTTTTACCAGAGTAGCATCAAGCTTACTTGACTGCATCACCGCCATCTGTTGAGCACGATCATGCTGCCTCTACTGAATTCATGATGTTCACGAAGCTTTCTCTCTCGCTCCGTGGTCTGACGTCCTTTTGGAACGTTAATGCTGTGAGAGCCAGCGCTCTTACTCAGGTCCAAGCCTAGTTACTGTTGCAACGACTCCTGCAATTTGCTCCCTATCGTGTCTTGCTCAGCGCAAAGTGCAGTGCTTTCTTCTGCACCGAAGTTGCAAGAAGGCATGGACGACTGCTGTTCTCCGGTCTGCACGATTGTCTTTCAGGAAATGCCAAGGACACGACTTCCCAGTTATTTCTCAATCGCTGAATGCTTTTTTGCACGCAACAGTTCTCCGAAGACGAAGCAGCGCTTTTTGACTCCCAACTCTGAAAGGCGGTTCTGTCGTATACCGGTGCACATACCTGCTTGCTCTTGCGCATCCTTGTTCAAGAGTTGCTTGTACATGTGCGTTTTTAAATCCCTGGTTCTGATCGGATGTGTGCGTTGAGCAAAGGGGGACAACGCTTGAAATGATCCGGCCTTCTGGTTACGGAGTTTCGTTTTTCAGCAAATCTTATTCAGTCTGCCCCATGGTTCCTTGCTCACGTTTTGTGGTGAACGCCGCGGGTCTGTTTCCTTTTCTGTTATGGCCAAAGTAGAGCCGGGCACTTGCCGCACTTGCAAGACTGCGGAAGCCAGGAAGTTTTGAGGCTAGCATTGTTGTCAGCTCGTTACGGCGAGTATGAAGACTCCGAAGCTGACGCCAAATGTGCTCTCCTTCGTAGCTATCCTTTCCGGTATCTATATTGCTTTGCTTTTCAGTTCCGCTCGGTGATTGACCGTCACTGGAAGCTGACTATTGACTAATATGTCTGCCCAGCTTCGAAGATTAGTTCGTCCCAATTCCCGCAAACAAAGGTAGCTTTGCAAACTCCCGCCACTCTGTGATGGCAGGGATGGTTCCTCGGATAACAACTGCTGCCACTCCGGAAGATGAAACGAAGCCATACGGTGCCTTTTCGTCTCGCGGGTTACCGTTTTTCACGTCACTTCTTTCGGAGCGTGTCCGGCTCAATCTCGTCATTCCCTCATCAAGGCCTGTCTTCAATCCAAGCCAAGGCATTCTTTGGAGATTGGTCTTACTGGACTGCTTCGAAATCTGTCTTTTTGGCCATATTCAGGGTGGCAGTCGGTTGATCCAAGTCTGCTGTCCACCAATCTGCTGCTTTAATGGGTCACAAGCAAGCGAACAGAAATAGAGTACGGTGCTTCGCCGGCGGCAGTGCATCACCAAAGCTGCAGTTCGGCAATATGCCCCTCCCAGCGAAACTCATTGCTTGATAGCCATCCGCTGGGATTCGTCTCCACTTTTGATGTGTCGCTTTCTGACGCTGTTCAGGGTATCACATGAAGATCCCGTTCCTGACCACGTACGAGCCGGTCCAAGTGACGCTCCAAACGGACGAGGTGACCAACATCCCGTGCGGCACGAAAGGCGGGGTCATGATCTACTTCGAGAAAGTGGAGGTACGGGCATCTTGCTACGCAGTACATAATCCGGGTTTGTTACAAATTCACTGCGCGTGTACTGATTCTTAACGACTTTGACGGCGCTCCATAAGGTCGAAGGTGACTTTTAACAATTCAGCTTGTCCGGTCCCGGGCCATATGCTCGTTGCTGAGGAAAGCCTGCCGGCTCCGGATTTTCGTGTACATCTCCTGTCGACGTGAGTCCTTACGTCGGACGGACACTTTAAAGGATTTTTGATCGGTGATTTTCCTTCTCATGCGACATAGCGCATAAACCTAGAGATTGATTTTAACAGGAGGACTTAGATCCATGTGGAGACCGTCAGTACAGAGCCAGGTATCGTTATCGGCGAACTGATCTTGTTCTCTTTGGTGTAAACCACCGTCTGGCTCAAATGCCGATCGCCGGTTCTCCGTTGCAGGGTAATGATGCAGTTACATAAGGCGCACGTGCTCAACACACACCGGCAAACAGCATCTAGTCCAACAAGAAGTGGGCTGACAAGGATCTCCGCCGTTTTAACCTTGCCGGACGATGAAGCTTTTATTCGGACGATTCGTTCTGATAAGTCGCGTACAAGCTAAGTAAGGCACACGTGCACGAAATTACCAAGGAGTAACGCCAAAACATGGATCCCCATGGATCACTTTCGACACAGATTGTTCTGTTCCGAAGACAGGTTCCCTGATCTGGACGCTTCTTTTCCGGGTGTGGTGAGCAAGCTGCACAAGGAGCACGTCCCGAGACCAGTCAAGGGAACGGCATTCTCAACAACTCAACAAACTACATCAAGACTTGGATCAACAGCGATTTCCCCACTTCCGTCGGACGCTAGAACTCTTGACCGGGACGCAGAAATTTTCGATTCGGACGTTTCTTTTCTTAGGTGGTGAGCAAGCTGAACAAGGCACACATGCACGAGACGATTAAGGAGTCCGGCATCCAGTACCACGAGATCCGGACTGACGTCCGCATTTATCACTCTTAAAGTCAATCAAACGCATACATTCGGACGCAGACTTTTTGATTTGGACGCTTCTAGTCTGCAGGTGGTGAACAAGCTGAACAAGGCACGAGCTGCGTGCACGAGATTATCAGGGAGTACGGCATCACAGTATGACAGTATTTGAATCTACGACAGTATTCCTCACACCAAATTGTTGGGCTCAGAATCTTGATCCGGAGGCAAAGTACCTGCTTCGGACGCTTCTTTTCTGCAGGTGCTGAACGTGGCGGCCGTTGCACGAGGCGATGTAAAAGAAGACGGCTTTTAGTCCGGCAAGACGGGGATGATCACCCAAACTTTCACTTGACGCGTTTGCTTCTCTCTTTCAGACGCGTAAGAATACTTTCCTGCAGGTGGTGAACAAGCTGAACAAGGCGTTCGTGCACGCGACGATCAAGGAATACGGCATTCAGTACGACAAGACGTGGATCTACGACAAGATCCACCACGAGATCAACCAGTTCTGCAGCGCGCACTCGCTGCAAGAGGTGTACATCGACCTCTTTGACCAGATTGACGAGATCCTCAAGGAGCTTATACAGGTAGGGTGATTGGTCTTTCTTAACGTTGATAGAGCTTCTCCTTAAGTTGGAAGCGTAGGCGCGGCGATGCCGAGTTGTGCAGCTTCTTGGCGAGGTTGTTTTGAAAACAACAATAGAGACCGTGGCAGGCGTATTTTGACTGCCAGCGCTTGAAAGCTTATTCAGGATCAAGCGATTGGGGTTACTGGAGCTAGGTTCGTCTCCCTTGTGGCTAATCTCGCAGTCAGGAGCTTGGTTTCAAGTTAACTACACATTGTTTACAACCGGGACAAGTCAAGCTTCAGAATTGGGATGCAAAAGCCTTGGAGAAGGCAAAGTACCGACTGCTCCTTTGACGTGGGGTGCTGCCACTGTAATTGAGTGCTTCAGCTCGGTTTTCATTTCGGCGAGGTACACGTTGCATCCCTCCTGCTACATTCTGAACAGTTCCAACGCTCGTCCCTTACTTCCAGCAAGGCACTTGATGATTCCAGTAGTCTCGATTTTATGTTGGAGTTACGGCTATGTTGAGTTAGGTCATGCCCGGGGGACGGGTGGGGTTGGTTTGGGGGTTTAGAGTGGGTACGGGTGCGGAGCATGTTAATTTTGGGTTTAGGGTGTTAGTTTGTTGGAGCCCGGGGACTTTATCTAACTCAACATACACCTAAGTCAACATAAAATCGAGACTTATGATGATTCCCCTGAAGAGGTTGACTGCATTTCGGTACACCGCTCATGGCATGCACTTGTGTTATGGTGATTGCGTTCAGGAGCTTAAGAAAAATCTGCTGTTTGATTCTTACGAAATGACGTCGCAATGCGCCAGGTAGCAGAATATTTGGCAACGTCGCGCCGTGTCCGAGCTTTTTGTCGTTGATTGCACGTGCTTGCGAGGCAAAAAAATTATTGTCATCATGCAGAGAGATTGCACGCGCTACGTGCCCGGGTTGGAGATCATCGGCACCCGCGTGACGAAGCCCAGCATTCCGACGTCCATCGTGCAGAGTTGCGGAATGGCCTGCTTCATTTCTCTACCGGAATGTCAGTAAAGTCGTATCATCCCTGCAGAGAGACTGCACGCGCTACGTGCCCGGGCTGGAGATCATTGGCATCCGCGTGACGAAGCCTAGCATTCCGACGTCCATTGCGCGCAACTACGAGGCGATGGAGGAGCAGCGGACGCAGGCGCTCATCGCGGCGGAGCGGCAGAAGGTGGTCGAACGAGAAGCGGAGACGGACCGTCGTAAAGCGGTGAGTAACTTGAGCTGGCTTTGAGCTCGTGACACCTGGCTCTCAATCTCGTTTGTTGGATGATGTGGGGAGGGCTACGTCTGCAGGATCCACGTTAGAGTGCTTGGGCAGCTTAAGAGTCTGTTCTCGTGTACACTTCTGAAAAGTTCACGGCCGAGGTCATGTTTGGACTTTTGCTGAGATTTGGTCGAAGGCGTTTTATAGTTGCGGAGTCCAGTGTCTTCTCGCTGTTTTTGAACCGGTCTGTGATTCCGGCTTAAGGCGGCGCTCCGTGCCGGGTTTGATTGATGCGCCCCATTGGACGGCTGCGGCTTCAATATTACTCCCAAGATTCTGCGATTTTCTTTGCAGGGCGGAACATAGGACGCCTCTAGTTGCTGAACTGACTGGAGCTGCCGTTCAAACCTTCTTTTTGGTTTTACCCGGCTTTCTGTCATGTCTTGCCTGCAGTCGCCCATAAAACATTCTGGTCCTGATTTTGCGGAGAACTTACAGTCCAATGTCGACACTTTTTTTCTGAAGTGGACACTATTTCTCTTTCAGACAGGTGGTAGTCCGCTCATGTCCGCGGAACAGCCTCCAACGCTACACTTAACAAGCCTCTACCCGATTATGTCAAGGATTCGAAAACAGTCGTTTGCGTGTCTCCCTTTCTGAACAACCGTTTGTTTCCTTGGCAGGTGATGGAAGCCGAGAAGGTCGCTCAGACGAGCCGCATCTACCAGGAGCAAAAGCTCGCGGAAAAGGAGTCGAACCGGCAACAGGAGCACATCGAGAACGAGATCTACCTCGCCAAGCAGAAGAGTCTAGTTGATGCGGAGGTCTATCGGTGAGCGAGCTTTCTGCTCGGATTGCGCCGAGGTGCTTGTCGGTGCTGATAGCTTGATGCGTGTGAGCATGTTTGGTTAAGCGTAAGCAATTATCGCTCTGCCGTTGCTTCGCACAGAAGAAGATAGGTCTTGGGCGCGCGTGTTGTAAAGGCTCGGAGATGTGGACGGTAGTATTGTACGAGGCTTCAGAACAAGTTGAAAGTTCCTGATCGGATTCTGTGAATCACAGTTATTGTCACGTCGCCCTAATGGGAACGAGAAGGTGGCCAGACTGCGATGACTTGCCTGGATAGCGACAAAGTTTTGCGCTCTTGTCGAATCAACGGGCTTCGATCGCAGTCAGTGCGTCTATTATGGGCACACTTTCTCGTGTTGGGCGTCCTAGTGGTGCGATAGTTTGCGCTTGCAAAGTCGGACACTTCGTGTTCAGTCAATCGAAAAGGGTTTTTCAGCTTACGTCAAGTCAGTTCGATTTATCCAGCTTTGGGAAACGTAGCAAACGTTCGGTGATCGCACACGTATAATCAATCTTTTCGTTCTCCCAGGTTAACGAAGGAGGCAGAGGCGAACAAGTTGAAGCTGACCGCCGAGTTTCTTGAGTTGGAGTTCATCCGAGCGATTGCCAACAACACCAAGATGTTCTTTGGAGACAAGGTGAGGCGGTGCTTTAAATTGGAGACAACGTGGTCTGGACGAATCTGCAAAGTTGAGTTTCCGAAGATCAAGTTTCCTAGGGGTAATGAGATATGTGGGATTTGAGGGTATCACATCTTCATACTTCAGCTAGAACGCTGAGGGCCATCGCCAACAGTCTTTGTACGGGTTTTGCATTGAAGCAGATCAAGCTGACTGTCCAACTAGTTCAGCAGTAGTTGAAGAAATCGATTCTAGTCCTGCTCAGATATTGCTCACCCTGAAAGTCCCGGGCATCAAGCCACCTCAACCTGGGTGCACCTTTCCAAAATTCTAAGTACCTTCCAACCAATGAACGCCGTCTATGGAACAAGTCAATAGACGGCGTCAGTGAATATATCCTTTCGTTGCAAGGTCGCCGTCCGAAAAATGTATGTTTTGGAGTGTCTTAGTCTTTCCCGACTCGGTGCGGATCTGCCCAGCGCAAATTATGCTCCCGGAAGTTCCTGTTGAATTGTCCTTGCCAAATAGGTCCTCCTTTCGTTTCTGATTTCTTGTTGTGCACGTTTCTCTCACAGGCGTTACTTTCATGAAGAAACCCCCCAACATGTGAATCCTTAAAGGCAGGACTCTGATTCCAGCTCTCTCCACTAAAACGCCCCCATCACTTACGTCTGGTGATAGTTAGATGGTTCTTTTCCAACCGCTGTCGCATTCCGCTTCCGTGCAGATTCCGGCCATGGTGCTGGACCAGCGGCTACTCGGAAGCTCTTTCAGGAACAAGCTGAACCAATAGGAAGGCAAGCGGTTAGATGGTGAGAGCTTTGGTCTTAGATGGAGCATGATCATTGACGAACCATCCCGTCACCCAGAGCTTTTCTTTGTCGTTTAATCAAATTGAGGCCTGCTAAGTTGATCAGACCTCCCGGTGTCCGAGGCTGGATAACACATTAAGCGGCACTGTAAGTCGAAATACGGTCCGCTGACATGATATGTGTTTGTGCAGCTCATAAAAAGATCACATGAATATCATTTGCAATCCCATCATCGCATATACCCATAGGAAGCGCGGCCGCTGATACAGAAGGCTGGTCATGAGGGTTCTGCAGTTTCTTTTTCGACGACGTACACATGTGCAGAGCTCCGGATCAATCTAGATCATATTGAATCAATCAACTCGTATCGACCCGCGTGACTGAATGATCCAAATCATTTGGCCCTATCATGAGTTGATATCTCACAGTACATGATGTCGGAGTGTCATATATGTCTTAATTGCGCGCATCGATCGGAGACAGTATAGTTGCACGGGTCTTGATTCATCTGGATATACGCACCGTCCAAGTGCTCTGAGTCCGCGCATTGAGGTCCGCCAAAGCTGTTTCGAGATCGCCCCCCGGAATGTCCGCAAACATTTCGCTCTTCTGAGCTTTCCCCAAAGCTTTCCGCTGTTCCGGCCGGCTGCCCTTGGACTCAATTCCGGCTTCTGTCTTCTTGGCTTCCGGAATCACAGCCATTTCGGGCGCAGAGCCCTTGGGCCCGGCACCCTCATCAAGCTTCTTACCCGTTTCGACTTTCTTTCGCCTGGGACCCGCCTCGTCGAGTCCCTTCTTTCCGCCGGAAACCTTGGTTTCCGGTTCCGTCTTTTTCCGTTCCGCTCCCCCAGAGGTTTCGCCGGGGACTTAGACGGAGTCCTCGGGCTCTTCAGTTGGGCCTCTTCTAAGGTAGCGGATCCCGGGGGAGACGTTTTCAACCCCAACCGTCCCCGTTCCGCTTCTGGATCCGACTTCCTCAGCTTTCCCTTTTTCGTTCCGGTCCCCTTGGGTTCCGGTTCCGGCTTTTTCCTCCCCTCCTTTGGAATATCCGCTCCGGCGGTCACAACCGTGGCTGTAACCTTTTCGCGAACACTTCCCTTCTGCTCGTAGTCTTCACCCGCAAACCTGCGAGTTTCCCCAATGAGTTGGATTTCCTCCTCGGAGGAGATCCCGGCCAGATCTTTTTTCTTTTTCTCTTTTTCTTGTTGCTTCCGACTCTGCCGCTTATCCGACTCCCCTAAAGCGGCCAAGAGTCGTTGAGCAGCCCTGTCGTTATCCTTCCGGTCTCCTTCCGAAAGATTTGACCACGCCGGAACCCCCCACTCTTCATTCGTGAGCAAATCACGAACGCGATCCTTCGTCCACCGCGGCTCCTTTCTGCGATCAAAAACGATCTGCTCGATGACCGCCGCGGGAATCGTAAGATCGACCTCCTTGAAGGCAGAATCGAGGTCCTCGTCGCGGGAGCTGCACTGGAAGGCTGACAGCGGCACAGTCCGTGGACCGTAAAGCTGCTGGGGATCGTTCAACATTCCCCACTGGAACAGAACCCCCCGATTAGCGCTCCTTTCCCACTCCTGAAGCGACGCGTCCAGAGCTAACTGTTCCAACTCCACAAGACCCAGATCCGACACCGTGGTGCCGTCCACGTACTGCAAAAAGAACTCGTCCGGCATGAAAAGTGCAAACCGTTCGCCTACCGGTTCCCCCCACAGAATGTTCCGTAAAAATCCGTGGACTTTCAACTGCAGCTGGGGAAACTCGATTCCGGCGGACTCCCACTTCCCTTCCGTGCCCTCGAGAAGTTGGATCTTGCACCAGACGCCGTCCTTCCGCATCTCTTCTACAAACTTTCCGCCCCGGTCGCTCCTAGACCCAAAACGCTTGACCTTGTCCGCGCGCGCGCGGCGAAGCCACTCGTCTTCCGCCGAAGTTTTTGCCACTTCCCATGCACGCAGCATGTTGCTTTCATTTTCTTCTGCCGGCTCCTCGGTCGTGACCGTAGCAGTCGGCCCCTGCCCCGCTCCTTCCATCTCTTCGCCGGGCTCCTCCCGCGACTTTTCCCCTCGGCTTTGACGACGTCGCGCGCGCGCGCTCTCCGCCTCACCGCCTTGGGCGCCCGCGGTGACTCCGGTCTTCTGCTTCTTCGGCGTCGGCGCGCGCGCACCACCACCGCGGCCGCCGCCGCTCGACTCGCGCCGCCGTACCACATCCACGAACGACGGCGCCTGCGAGTCGGTTCTGCCCGCCGACTGGGCACCTTCTACAGTCTGCTCACCCTCGCTCTTGAGTCCTTTCCGTGGAAAAGGACACGCAGCGCTCGCCAACTCCCGATCCGCCAACACCAAAACCGACTCCCAAGTCTTATGGGCCTTGGCGAGGACTTGTATCTCCCGGGCTTTAACGTTTCGCAGTTCGCTCCGCAGGAACGGGGGAAAGGTTAAGGGTTTTTCCAACCACAGCGCAGTATCGCGTGCGATAGCTGCCAGTTCCTGTTCCACTCTTCCCCCGGTAAGAACTGCCGAAACTCCGTACTGCCATTGTCCAAAGGACTGCGCCAGCCTTGGCCGTTTAGCAATCTTGCTGGACCATTGCCCCACGAAAAAGTCAATGTCCTTCCCCGCGGGGTCGGACCGCTCGTGCCGGGCCCACTCCGCTATCCCCATCAAATACGCTTTCTCCTCGACCGCATGGGGTCCGCTAAGGAGGTTGAACGCCTCACTCAGGACAATCCGCCGGAGAATCCCGATGAGGAACTGGATCAGCGGCTGGCCACGCAAGTAACACTTAACCCGGACGTGCTTCAAACAGTGACCGATGACGAAAATCCAGTTGGCCAACAACTGGGTACAGACCTTCCCCGCAATCGCGTTGTGGCTTGCCACTAACGCTTGGGCCCCATCGATCTCCGTCAACTGTTTGGGCTCCGTTCGCGGGTTCGCCGAGATGACTTCGAGAAGAGGCGCTTGCAATTCCTCAAAACGAAGATCCGGTTGATGCGGGGCGTGCAAGACGTCCAGGGGCCGGTGTAAATCGGCCTCGTCCAGCTTCCCCATGGCCGCGTCCTGCTCTTCAGCCGTGGCTTCAGAGCGCTCTTTCCGCAACGATTTTGGCCGAACTAAAGGGATCTCTTCGGATTCCGTGGATTCCGAAGTTTCAGGAGGTCCCCGCTTCCGATGGGACCGCTCCTCCGCTCGCTGCTGCCGCTTCTTCCTCTCCAGCCCTTCCTCGCTCATACCCCGCCGGTATGGACGTTTCGAACCTGCGAAGTTGAGGGCAGGACTCATTGAGTTGAACTGCGGCGGAAAGGGACGAAACCATGGAGCTTGCGGACCTTCGTAATAGCCTGCTCCAAACGGAGGCTGGCAAAAGGGGGGGCCACGAAATTCCTCTCGAGGAAACGGGCAATAAGGAGGTTGGGCATAGGGCGGACGCCATCCACGGCGCGGACCTCCTCCAGGTACTCGCGGACGAACTGGATACGGGGAAAATACCGGCAAAGCTCGTGAGCGTTGCGGAACCATTTTTGCCCGAGATGGTCTTGCAAAACCGCCTTCTTGTTTTTGAGACCGGGGAGCCACCCAAGGAACGCGTAAGGGCCTTCGCATCGGAGTCGATGACCCCTAATCGTCCCGGGCCGCTTCATTAACACCCAATCCCCTTTTTTCAAAAGCGCGACCTTGTTTTTCGCCGTGGCGTTCCATCGGGCGAAGTTCTTTCTCTGCACAATAGACGCGCCCAAAATCATTGCCTTGGCCGATGATTGAGCTTGGTGAATGTTACTAATCCTCTGCTGGCGCTCCGCTTCGGTCTCTGGGCGATTGAGGTTCGGCCGCACCAACCCGTGGCGAGTAGGAAGACTGTTGATTTCGATCGGTAAAAGGGGGGAACGACCGTAAAGGCATTGAAAAGGAGACATTTGAATAGTGTCCTGAAAGGTGGTCCTAATATCGAACGCGACTCCGGAGAGATGCTGGTGCCAGCTGTCAGGGTGCTCGTGAGCACACTTCCGCAGACAAGCTTTGATCACCTGCATGTAACGTTCAACCTGACCATTAGCCTGCGGACTGTTAGCCGCGATCGGGACATGATTCAGATGCCACTCCTTCAACTTCTGTTGAAAAACGGTCGAAAACTCCCCACCGTTATCCGTTACCACTTCAAAGACTCCGGCGTGCCGGTGGAGAACTTCTCGTAAGAAATTCCGAGTCATTTCAGGGGCCTGGTCAGTCTTCAAAGGCCACATCTCAATCCACTTAGTTACCGAATCAATAGCAACTCCGACGTATCGGTATTGCTCCGACCCAGACGGCTGAAAGCGCCCAGCAGTATCTACATGAACTCGATAAAAAGGAGCAGTCGGAGGGGTTGGATGGATCTCCCGGTCGCTCCGCGGAGCTTTCCTAGCCTTCTCAAACTGGCACAAGTGGCAGCGTTTAACCATCTCAGAGACAAAAACAGTCATCTGCGGAAACCAATAACGCTTTGCACTTTAACCCGCGTCTTCTCACACGAGCCCGGATAATGCCCCTCGCCCTTGTGGATATCTTCCACGGCCTGAAACCTTTCTTCTGCCCACAAAACTCGCCGGAAGTCCGGCTGTTTAACCAGAACTTCGGCTCCCCCATCAATCACCACTTCAAGCTTATTCACTTTAACCCTAGAACGAAATTTTGCATTCGCCCTAGCTTTTGCTCGCCCCACTTTCGAGTTGGGTGGCAAGGTCCCGTCCCGCAAAAACAAAAATGCGTCCCGCAGGAATACTTCTTTCTTTTGCAGAAACGAAAAAGCCAACGGATCCTGAGCGTGCCCAGGATGTGCCGATAAATTAGCCACAAGCACTTCTGTGCCAGTCAACCGCGTTTGCGGTTCCATTCACCCAAAGCTGAAAGAGATCAGTGAGCCTCCCCTGAGCTGGCTAGCGGTTCATCGGACTCGGGTTTTTCTCGTTGCTCTCCCGCACTTCCGTTCTTTACATCTTCAGAGTCGGTGAGATCTCTGCCACGTCCGGCCTTCCAATCTCTCCACTCAGAAAGAAGAAGAACTTCTCCTGCGGATGGCAACAAGCCAACTCACCCGAGTCTGCGACGAAAACGTCGCCTGCCGCTCCGCCGTCCGCCCTTCCGGAGGTCGCTTCCGCTTCCGGTGCCGCTAACGCAAGGACCGGAATTTCAACCACTCGCCGCAGCAAGTCGTCGTTGATGACGTCACCGTCGTCCGCAAATGCCTGCAGCAATTCCGGTGCGTTGTTCAACGGTCCAGGAGAGGGCTGCCGTTTCGCAAACTCTATCGGTGGGACGTCGAAGTCGACTTCCTCCTCCGAAAGGTAGTGCAAACCCAAGTCGTAACTCATCAGTCTGCAAGCGGAAAAAACGGAAAGTCTAAACGCGATGCACCTTGGTGACATCAGCGCTCCGGTGGGAACGAGGCCTAGGTAAACTGCTCAACTGCTCAATCTCTCCCAGCGCAATTCTGCAACTCTGCAGGTCGAAGTCGTTCCGTCTTCACCATTCTGCGAAATTCAGCGACTTTTCTTCTGTCGTTTCGCTTCAAAATCCGACGGAATTCTGCGACCTCTAGACCCGAGAGCTGTCCGCTGGCCAACGGAATTCCGCAACTTTCGCTCAGTTGTTCCGTGCCTGAAAACTCATCCCGAAATTCATCCGAGACTCTAAGCTGCCAGAATATTAACTCCACCACGAGCCCTTCTGCGCCCCAAAGATAGTTCCTTCCATTCTCAAGCCTTACTATGTCCAGCAACTCCGGCCGCCCTTCTAAGAAGTCGGGATTTCGGAAACAGACAAAGGAGGAGGAGATACGTCCTTGGACGCAATCTCTTATTGCCATGAACGCAGAAGGCGACGAAGGGTAAGTTCTCACCGGTCCGTGGACAAGATGATTGCCCCCCACTCCTTTCTTCGCCCTCCCGCGGTCGGGACCGATGCAGCTTCCTTCGCGAAGGACGCCGCCCGTGGCTCCGTCCGTAATCCGCTGCTTCCGAAGTCCGCCTTCATAGCCGCGAGCGGAACACCGCCGTGGCAGTTTCTCCGTCGACCTCAGGGATCGTCTGCTACGGGGAATGGTGACAACCGCCACCGGACTCCTTCCTCACGGGCGGTCCACCGCGCAAACATTGATTTCGCCGCTTCGAAG